TGTTTTCTAGTGTAGATTCTTTTGTCTTCAATCTAGAGAACATTCATACATCTTTATGTCATGTTTTATATCCTATGTTAATTAAAATATAATTTTAATTGTATTCATGGTCTAGACAACACATATGTACCACTTTATTATCACTTAGGATGCAATACCTTTGCATTTTCATTAAAATTTTACTTAATTTGTATATTTTACTTTAATTTTTATTTTGGAAGTTTATTTTCTTTTATGCTAATTTCTACTTTTACTCAAACTTTTCTTAACTTAAATGTTACTTCTTTTATCCTTGCATTCTTTATGCAAATTTTTTATCCTTGTATCTAAAAAACTTTCTCCTTTATTTTAAAATAGATTTGGTAAAAAGGGGAAACATTCTTTAGATAGTATAAAGGTATTATACTAAAGGATGCAATGTTAATCACATTTTATATCTTTAACAACTTATAATAAAGTATTATATTTTAATTTTATCTCTTGATATTTAAATCTAAAGGATCTTTACTTTTTGACTACCCTTTATGGCCTCCAAGTCAATATCATGTATTATGATATATATTACTTTCTACTTTATGTAAGTTGTCAATCTTTTAATTTTAACAGATTCTTTATCAATGGAATCATTTAACTGTAAAACACAAATTTTTAAGTCTCAAAGTAAAACTAAATATATGGCCTATAGAAATGGTTGAGAGGTAAAATTTAAATAAGTGTAATATGTTTGAACTAAAAGCTTTAGTTTGAAAAATCTAAAGCACAAATGAAATACTTAAAGAAGCATTTGAAAGACTAAAATGAACTAATTGATAAACAAGTCTCTAAAAAGGGATAAAAGAATTACTAACACATGCTAAAAGTAATAACATATAAAAATATTAAATTAAAATGATCAACTTTTAAAACCCTAAGAGGGTTTAATAAACTATATTCACATATGGTAGGTGATGTAAATAATCAAAAGCCAGAGATCAAAAAGTCTTGGCTCAAAGGTTGGGTAGAAATAGGGTGGGGATCCATTTGCACCGCCAACACATTAACAGCAAGCTGTGGTTCCTTTGGGAATCTCATAGCCACCAAGGATTGTAAATGTGTCCTTGATGATTGTTCCAAGGTATTCCAGCTTGGAGAAATCTGACTCTCTCAAAATTCTCGCATTTCCCACAACCCTGTCAAGCTCCTCTTGAGCTCATGCTAAGCCCCGAGGCTTTTGCAGTACCGCTTCAGCAGCCACTCGCTTGGAACAACAGATGAATCAGTTCTGGCAGCAAACATGTCCTGAAAGAAACCCCACAAAAAACTTTGACACTTCTATGCAAGTTTCCTTGTGTTCCCTCACCAAAGAAGAGGAGCGTGGTGTCAAGGAAGGCATTCCCGGGTGCTGCCTTTGTGCTCGTCCACAATCTTTTACAAGAACTTGTCTGGCTTTGCATGCACACCTTTGTGCTGGGGAATCCACCAACCAGCCATCTCAAATACCAAGGGACAAAATTGACCAAAGTGAAGCGCTCCTTGACTAGCTCCTGGCTTGAAACAACACCACTTAATATATTCCTCTGAGCAAGTGCCGATCCCCATGGACTTGGTAGAAGATTTGTGCACACCTTGTAACTCCAAACAACCAAGAGAATGATGAAAGTTGAGGAGCACAACACGATCGTTAGGTCCATTGACAAAGTTTCAATCATCTTTAACCATGTAAGTACGTATCTGTGTAGCGACATCTGGCAAGAGTCCCACTGCCACGGATGCCAAAAGCATATAAATAAACATGATATGATCAGTCACAAGCCAAGCAACATGAAAAGATGGTGGCAAATACATCCCGACCCGAGCTGGCCAGCCTTCTCCACAAATGCAGTGACTTGGTGGATGCCAGACGCATCCACAGTTGCATTTCCCAGAACCCAGCACTGCGGCACGAGAAGTTCCTGGCGAACTTGCTCATAGGAACCTACGATCGATGTGGAAGCATCATCGACGCTCGGGCGGTCTTCGATTCCATTCGCGTTCCAAACCTTTTCTCATGGACTGCCATCCTCGCTGCGTATGCCCACAGTGGCTGCGTTCACGAGGCGATGCTCTTGTTCGGTGCGATGCCGCTGACAAATGTGGTGGCTTGGAATGTGATACTGCTTGCAAATGCCAATTCCGGGTACCTGTCGGAAATGGAAGCGTTAGCGCAGCGCATGCCGGAGTTTAGCATTCTTTCATGGAACACAAAAATCACGGGTTTTGCAAATAATGGTCAGCTGGAGCAAGCCAAGCATGTCTTTGACGAAATGGCTGAGCACGATCTAGTGTCTTGGAACGCTCTCCTTTCAGCATATGCCTTGAGTGGGCAGCTTGAACAAACAAAGATAATCTTTTCGAGAATGCCCGAGAGGGACGTGGTTTCTTGCGCGACACTGATGCAAGCGCTGTCTGAAGTACGTGATGTGGATATGGTGTTAGCGATTTCCTTGGATATGCCTGTACAAAACCTCATGGTTTGTAACTCCTTGCTTGCCACATATGGCGAAAGCCTCGATATGCGTAAGTCAGAAGCGTTGTTCAAGAGCATGGCCGAAAGAAATATAGTGTCCTGGAACATCATGATAAGTGGTTACTTAGTTAGTGGTGATTTGGATTCTTGCATGAACGTGTTTAGCACAATGCCAGTAAGAAACTTAGTGTCATATAACATACTCCTTAGAGCATTTGCCGAAAATGGGTTTTGTAAAGCAACAGAAATGTTGTTTACGAAAATGCCAGAAACTAACGTGGTGTCATGGACTTTGCTCTTGCAAGTATACTCCCAATCTGGTAAAGTTGAGGAGGCAAGCCGTGTGTTTGAAACTATGCCGGAACGGACTACAGTCACCGTAAACTCAATGCTGACAGCATATGCCCGAGCCAGGCATGTCGAGCAAGCAAAGGTATTGTTTGATACCACAGAGGCTCCCGACGTGGTCTCTTGGAACGCCCTCTTAGCGGGTTATATCTACAATGGGCATCTTATGGAGGCGGAGGCCACCTTTGCGAGAATGCCTGCAAGAAACGTCACGGCCTGGACTGCCAGTATCGCTGCTTTTGGACGCGCCGGTCACCTCGACCGCTTGGTTCTAGTCTTCGACAGAATGCCCATCCGAAACTTGGTATCGTGGAACACCATGATAGCGTGGTGCTCGAGCTGTGGGGATTGTAAGGGTGCTGCTACGTCGGTTTGGCACGAGATGGTCTTGGCTGGAGAAGTCCCCGATGAGACATCGTTCTTGAGCGCTCTTCTTGCTTTCAAACACTGCGGCGATTTGGATGCCGGATGGCGCTGCTTCGTCTCCGCCAGCCTCGACTTTGGAGTGCTGCCAGGCAATCCACACTACAGCTGCGTGCTGGAGCTACTCGCAAAGTCCGGGGAGATGGAGCTCGCCAAGGATGTGGCCCAGAGCTTGCCGTGCGACCATGTTGCTTGGACGGCCTTCCTGGCTGCATGCCAGTTACATGATGGGGATATAGCCCAAGAGAAACTCTGAAACTTTGAGGACATTTGGAATGATCGATCACCTGGACGTGGTTCTGTCGTCGTTGATCATCATGGTTCTCATGAGATAATCTTCGTCATGCATTTGCTCCTGCACCATCTCATTGCTTGTGATTTCCGTCGACTCTCGAAGCAAAACCTTTCTGGCCATTCCCTGATGTTAGAGCGTTTTAAAGTTTGATCGGGGAGGAAAGAGACAACATTTCTTAGCTTATAAAAATAATAGTGGAACGAGTCTCCAAAGGTTGAGTACTCCATGGACCATTCGAAGCCACTGGCCTCGAAATAGGTGAGGCTTAAGGCAAAGAGTCAGAAGAGAGCAGCTCTAAGATCCAAGTTTTCGATCTTGCCAAATGCGATAGAGATGAAAAGATCATTGCTTCAAGAACTCCGTGTACCCCATTGAGCGTCGCGTCATCTCGGGATCTCAGGGACTCCCGCTGAACATCCTCTTTAAAACCCATCCTTCCTTTAGTTTTGATCCGATCTAAAAGCCAAACACTATCTTTGTATCCTACCTTCTCGATCACAATGTCGAAGCTCGCGTCCTTGAGTGGCATGTGATGCCAGGAATGCCACAAGTCGGAGCATTCCGTCGCTTCCGCTCCAGGCGAGAGATCAGTCGCTGTGATGTCTGTGAAGCCATCTTGGTACATATCGTGCGCGAGTTGCCACATCCAAGTTCCCTTCCAGATAATCCGCTCGCTGTGAATGAACTCGTACCGTGAGCATGAATCAAACGCTGGAGTCTGGAAACCCTGTGAGGAAGATGATCCGTCAAGGTTGCTACGATCGCTCACCGGCTCTGGGTGCCCTGAGGCTGTTAGCGTGAATTACGAGCAAGACGAGTGCAGAGCTGTTTGCGAGCAAGATTGAGCAGAAGCTGGATGACATGCTGAGGAAACTTGAGGTAAGTAAATAGCTTGAATTGGGAATGACAGGCTCTGTGACGACGGCTACGAACCCTCCTCCTGTGAATCCTCTTCCTACTGTGAAGCCTCCAGTAGCTTCTTTCAATGGTTTTCTTGTCGTCGATCATCATGGTTGTCATGAAGTAATCTCTTTGCTCCTGCACCATGTCAATGCTTGTGCTTTCCAGAGAGTCTCGAAATCTTTCTCTGGTGAAACGTTGCGTTCTAAAGTTTGAGAAAAGGGACAACCTTTCTCATCGTATAAAAATAATAGTGGAACGCAAAGTCTTTCTTGCCTGACCAAACTCGGTGTACCTCTTTGAGTGTCGCGCCAACTCTTGGGGTGGGACTCCCGCTGTCCACGAAGAGAACATCCTGTTTGAAACCCATCCTTCCTTTGATTTTGATCGGATTTAAAAGTCTCTGTATCATACCCGATCACGACCTCGAAGCTCGCGTCCTTGAATGACATGTCCATGATATCAGCTACAAGAACTTTGATGCCGAGAAGAATACCATATTCAAGTCGGAGCATCTCCGTCGCTTGCCCACAGGCGAGAGATCAGTCAATGTATGTCCGTGAAGCCGTCTTGGTACTCATGCGCGCAAGTTCCAAAATCTCAATGAGCGCAAGTTGCTATTTCTAGGTGGGGTGCCCTAAAGTTTTGTCGGTATGAAGCTTGCAGGAACTGAGCCCTTGCGTTCCTATAACTCGTGCCTTGTCCTTCAGGTTGCTGCTGCTTTCAGATGCAGCGGAAGAATCTGGATGAGATGCAGCGGAAGAAGCTGGATGAGATGCAGCGGAAGAATCTGGATGCGAGGCTGGATGAGATGCAGAGGAAACTTGAGGTAAGTAAATAGCTTCGATTGGGAATGACAACCTCATTAGCTTTCACAGCAAATAGAGGCGCATATGAAGATTATGGTTTCTGGTTCTTCCTCCATGACGACCTCCATGGTATCTGGTTCTTCCTCCATGACGACCTCCATAGTATCTGGTTCTTTCTCTGTGACGACGGCTGTGAACCCGCCTCCTGGCGCATTGGATCTGCTGCGGTTTGTGGGCACCTGTGACAATAAAGGTACTGCACTCTTCATTGGACTCCCTGATACGACCTTAGCACTGAGCCCACAACCGACGTGCATCGTTGTGGGCTACAAAGACACGATTGTGTGGAAGGAAGGCGAAGAAGTTACTGTGACGATCAATGGGCAGACTGTGAAAGGCGAAGTTGTTTCCCTGGTGCACCCCTGGGTGGCTGCTGTTGAGCTCTTGGAACCTGTAAGCTGCTGCTTCAAAATCCTGATTCACCCTGATTGGCTGTTTTTCTGATTCAGCTGAAACTGCCTGGGGTGCCCCTCATGCCGGGTGGGCCTCAAAACGAAGAGGCAGTTTTTGTGCGGCGGGCGCAGGATGGGGCTGGGGGAGTTGAGCTCCCTGCGATCATCAAGAAGCTCTACCTATCAAATGAACCGGCTGGCATCGTACCTGGTGTCCAAACGGGCGATATTATCGTGAGATGGGACTCGGCCAAGGAGCTCAGGGTGAGTGGGATTGTTGTCAGGACAGACGAGGATGGTAGTGTCTATGGGCTCCCCATCGACAACGCCACGGTGTTTTTCATGGAGGCCTACAAGAAGGACTGGTACCGAGTAAAATACCCAGGGCGACTCCAGGCGGTGGCACAGTATCGGCCTACCATGGCATAGAAAGGTGGTCGTTTGATAAGCGAATAGTTACTGAACTAAATTTTGGACTTCGAGATTAACATGGAAGAGCTTCAACTGTGCAAAATAGGCTCTACGTAGCCAAGGACGAAAGAGATCCATCCTGCATGTTCTGCATACATGTGAACGGCAAGAGTTTTCTTAATCAATCTTAAGTTCTGGCTTCATGTACGCCGAGGATATTGTGGAGCATTTGTGGCAATTTCCGTTTGCTTAAGAAGGAATCGCTACAAATTTTAAAGACACAGATCTGAGCGACTGAGGTGTCGCATCGCTGATGGGAGCGATAAACCCATTAACGAGCAAGAGGGCTGGTGGTGGCGGTGATGTCCTGGAACACGCAAAGTAGCCGGTTCTGCTCCTGCAGCTGCTGCAATTGCTCCTGGAATGACGAAGAGGTGAAAGAACTCGAGGGCGGTGGCCTTGCGATCATCCCTAGCTCCTCCGCTAAGCAGCTGCTGCTTTACGGGAGAGGAAGCCGCCGACTTGGAGATTCCGGGTGGTGGTCGTAGAGAAGTATTGCCACGAGGAGCTGCTGCAACCAAAACGAGAGCCATCATGGGTCGATCGACCATCAGGAGAATGAATAAGAAATAACTTTTGGCGATGGCGGAGAAGTTTAGGCTGTTGTTTGGCATTGGAGTTTGCATTGACGCACAGCAGCTCCAGCTTCTTCTTGAGCGCCTCTACCGCAAGATCAAGATTATACTCCTCCTCCTCTTCGTAGTCCCAGGAATCGTACGTGGGCATCTGCTGGCTTTCCGGCTGGGTTTGCTGCTGGAGGGGATTTCAATCTCTTGCTCGAGCTGGGGAGCGTGGGCACAAAGACGCAAAATGCCAATGCTTGGCAAGTGTTACGCCTGATGTTGCTGTCCTTTCTCCATCTCCTGTGCTATTTCGTAAGTCTTAAAATGCAATTCTACGCCCCTGAGATTATCTGAGGATACCTTCGTTATGCTCTTGAGTAGCACTTTGTCCTCGTCCACGCAACATTGCTTGATCAAGCAGATGCCCAGGTTACACATCTCGTTGTTGTCCGGTTTGATGATGCACAGCTTATGATCAATCGATTCATCGAGCGAGCGATGCTCCGTGTACGCCCAGCCCAGATTCCCCTATGACATCTTTCAGGTAATCGTAACAAATCTAGCGTGCAACTCTAAATTCAAGGCAAGTTTAACTTGAAACGGCTGGAGCGGCTCCGGCACATCCGGTCGAGCCAAGTGAATAAACGAAGGACAGCACACTTAATCAATTACAACGCTGAAAAGTAAACATAGCACACTAGAAAATCTGAATAACTATGAATAAAAAGCAAACGTAGATAGAACATAAATAGACAGAAGAGCGTGATCATGGTGCCTTGATTGCTTGACCTGGTACTATCCATGCCGCTATCGATCTTGAACCGCATCTGTGATGCTGGGACTGTGTCCAATATTCAATAAAATCCTGGGGTTGTTGATGTCGAATACACCACCACCAGAGTCACCTTTGCTTGACCCACTCGAACCTACATTTGTTCTATAACATTAGAAAGAATGAAAGCAAAGTGAGCTTACCTATCATAAATGAATCCATGCGAGCGTGGCCTTGGAGAATGCCTTCCCGTGGAAGGAGACTAGCATTTCGCCCTGATAACCCAATTAACATATATTTCATGCCACATAGGCTGATTGGGTCCTCAATGTTAACCACTGGAGCAAGCATGCTTTGGCCATTAGACTTGAGAAGTACCAAATCTGATTAGGACATGATCTTTACTTCGTTCCCCTGCTGGTAAACTTTCACCTCTTTCCCCACAACCCACCCACTATGGTCACCATGAAAGTATTCTGTGGATCAACAACAGTGCCACATGATCCATCTCCACAACGGACCACGTAGGTACTCGTTCGCAGAACTTTGACATCCCCAAAGATGCTCAGATCTACCCCCAGCCCCTCTCTTGTTTTTAGGGCGATGCCTCCTGTGACTTGGATGACTTTGCCGGGTGATTCGCTGCTAAGTAGTGATGGAAGTAGCGTGGTTGGAGCTTGCTCGATCGTGGCCAATGTTTAGAGCCAGCAACCATCGTAGATCATTCGATTCTAGCTTCATCACTCTTTGATACTTGGTCTTCAGCGAAAGTAGTGCTAGACTTTCTCAGCTGTGAGTACCTGGACGCACACTTCCGCCACAGCTTCTCTTGGGATGCTCTTGGTGCTAGTGTTCAGCAGCTCGTCGTCCTTGAGCTAAATCCACCAGGCTTGTTGTTCCGGATGATAGTGTACGTCAGTAGTGGACAAATATTTCTTCTTCCAAATCTAAAGGAACCCAAAGAGGAACTTTGTGTTCTTTTTGGCCAATCCAATCCACATGGACAAGAGATCACAGGCGGAGAAAATAGTCACACCTCTTCCGGGGGAGCAACTCTTGTCTTCCACCGGATGCTGGATCTTCATCTTCGGGCATCTGGTGAGAATGACGAGCGAATCCTGATCAATCTGCTGCTTGCTCGCCTCGGATCGAACAATCCCACGAGCACGACACTCTTCCCGCCCCGGTTAGACGAGAGCACCCTCTTCCTCGTCTCCACAGCCCGCCCGACCGGGACTCCATCCTTCTCAGAGTTTCCTCGCTCGTTCTGTGGATCTTACACCCAGCGAGCCAGTGATCCGAGCTCATAGATCCAAACTGGTAGATGGATTCCTCCAGCAAACCGGCCCGGCTGCAAGCGATGAGAATGCACTCACTAAGGTGACGGTCCCCGGAAAATATCGATAACTTCCGCCATGTTTCCATGCTGTGCATACGCCTTGATCACGACACCGGATCCTTACGCGAACTCTTGCAGCTCTCAAAAACGTTCCTGGCATCGCCCACGAATCCAGCTCCAGCCAGCATCTTCACGACCACGGGCGTTTTGTCCACTACCTCGGACTCCAGACGGACCGCCTGTGCATATATCTATCTTCTGGAAGCGGAGGCCACCTTTGTGAGAATGCCAGAAAGAAACGTCTGAACTGCCAGGATCGGACGTTCCGGTTGCTTGATAGTCTTGGACACAGTGCCCCATGATAGCGTGGTGCTCGAGCTGTGGGGATTGCAAGCGTGCTGCTACGTCGGTTTGGCCCTATGAGACATCGTTCTTGAGCGCTCTTCTCGCTTGCAAGCACTGCGGCGATTTGGACCCCGGATGGCGCTGCATCGACTTTGGCGTGCTGCCACACTAGAGCAGCGTGCTGGTCGGCGGGGTGTGTGGTGCGAGTGGGTGCTCGCCAAGGATTTGGCCCGCCATGCGACAATGTTGCCTGGACGGCCTTCACTGCATGCCAGTTACACGATGGGGATATAGGCTGCGAGAGTGTTTCGGACCTCGAGGACATTTGGAATGATCGATCAACTGGACGTGGTTTTGTCGTCATCGACCATCATGGTTCTCATGATATAATCTTCGTCATCCATTTGCTCCTGCACCATGTCAATGCTTGTGATTTCCATCGAGTCTCGAGGCAAAACCTTTCTGGCCATTCCCTGGTGAAACGATGTTAGAGCGTTTTAAAGATTGATCGGGGAGGAAAGAGACAACCTTTCTTAGCGTATAAAAATAATAGTGGAACGAGTCTCCAAAGGTTGAGTACTCCATGGACCACTCGAAGCCACTGGCCTCGAAAAAGGGGCGTCGAAAGTGAGGCTGTCAAGGCAAAGAGTTAAAAAGAGAGTAGAAGCTCTAAGATCAAAGTCTTTCTTGCCTGGCCAAATGCTATTGAGATGAAAACACCATTCGCTCCAAGAACTCGGTGTACCTCTTTGAGCGTCGCGTCAACTCGGGCTCTTGTTTGGGGCTCTGGATCCCAGGGACTCCCGCTGTCCACGAAGAGAACATCCTGTTTGTTCCTTTGATTTTGATCCGATATAAAAGCCAAACACTATCTCTGTATCATACCATCACTCCCTTCTCGATCACAACGTCGAAGCTCGCGTCCTTGAATGGCATGTCCATGATATCAGCTACAAGAACTTTGATGCCTGGAGAGACAAGAATGACAAAGCTGAAAAGAAGAAATGCCGAGAAGAATACCATAGTTCAAGTCGGAGCATCTCCGTCGCTTGCTCTCCACAGCCACAGGCGAGAGATCAGTCGCTGTGATGTCCGTGAAGCCGTCTCGGTACATATCTTCGCTCATGCGCGAGTTGCCACATCCAAGTTCCAAAATCTAGTGTGAACTCCTCCTCTACGTGAGGAAACCAGCGCCTTGCTTAGCCAAACACGTACCTTTGCGTTTTTGCCACTGCAATGAGCGTGGATCAAATGCTGGAACTGGGAGTAGTCCTTGAACCACTCGTAGTGGCTCTCCCTGGAAAACCTCTCGTCCCTGCAAGGGATGATGATCCACCAAAGTTGCTAACGGCTTACCAGTATGAAGGCTCGAGGTAGGAGCGAACGTCCTCAGCCATGGCTCAGCGCCTCTGGGTGCCCTAAACTTGTGTAAGAATGGGCTTGGAAGAGCTCGGGAGTGTCAAGGTATGCGGTGTTCGATCGATATACAAGCGTTCCACCGCCATTTTCCTTTGGTAGATCATACTGGGTTCTTCCTCACAAACGCGGCAAGCGGTTCTTCGAGAGATGGGTTACAACTTCACTGTGATGGTAGCCTCTCTCTCTTCTTTTTCCTTCTCATACTCTTCTTTTTCCAGTCGGCGGACATCGATGAGCGTGCCATTCGAAGAGAAACTCCGGAAGAGCTGGTCATGGCGCTTGCTCACGCCAAGGTGAGACGTCTTTAAGTTCACGCGCATCAACCATCAGCGGTTTTCGCAGGCTCAAGCTATCTTGCCACGGATCACAAGCCTCGAAACTTCGGACGAAGAAGTTCTTCTCATCACCGCGGACCAGGTGAGTTCTTATTCCTGTCGCTCGTACAACGTTGTCTAATCTCCCTCGTTCTTGAAAATACCGGTCGTGGTGAACGGAGGTGTTGTGCGCGAGAAGCCATTGAATGGCGACGAAGCTCGCACCTTCATCGCTGGTAAGCTTGAGATTCATTCTTACGTGGTTCTTCGTTTGCACTTTGTGATTCTTCCATGCTTTGTTTTGGCAGGCTACGCGCGAGACCCAGCCATCACAGTGAGTGCCGTGCTTGTGACAAATGTGACCACTGGAGTCAGCAATGGTAGCATCGACAAAGCCGAGGCAAGAAAACCAAAGCTTCTTTTTTTTTTTGGTCTTTCTCGAGCTTGGTTTCTTCTTCGCAGATTTACTTCCATCCTATTCCCGAGCAAGTAATCGACGATCTGGTAAATAGCTATTTGTCTTTTGCTTTGCCTTCCCGAGAGCTTGGCAAGGATTCCAAAACTTTACTCGTTTGTTGTTTCAGATCAAGGAAGGGTCGGTCCTGTATGCCGCCGGCGGCCTCCTGGTGGAGCATCCCCTCGTCTCTCCATTTGTCCAGTCCATGGTAAAACGAATTTCCGGTTTGAAGAATCCAAGCACCAAACCAAAAGCGTGCCTTTGCTTTGGTTTTTCTAGATTGGAACTCTTGACAGCGTCATGGGATTGCCCAAGGAGCTCACGCACACTCTCATCCGCGACTCGCTCTCTCGCAACAAAGAACCAAATAAGTAGCTCATGAAAGAAAAAAACAAACAAACAAAAATCACAGTGATTCAACTGGAAAAATTCTTTCTTGTCTGGAACGAAGCCATCCAACTTGCGAGGAGAACAAGCGGATCTAATTCTCCAAATATGCTCCACCGCGCCGTACGCTCCCTCCGTACGCGCGATACCGTACGCACCAGGATTCGACCGTTGGGAGAGCGCTTGCCCTAAAGTGCTCCAACGGGCAGCAGAGCACGGATTGTGGCTGTTAGAAAATCTCTCTCCTTCTTCTTCTTTCTCTCGCGCGCTCTCCTCCCGCTCTCGCTCCTCTCGATTTTCTAGCTGCTAGCGCGCTCCAGCGATCGCGGAGGAAAGGAGAATGTGGAACAGCAGCTCCAGCAATCTTCCCCCGCATCCCAGGATGAGCAAATCGGCGCCCTGCTCACCGGTCAAGCCGCTCGTCGCCGCCGGCAAGCGCCCTCCCTCGCGCGCCGATTCCTTTCACGTCATCCACAAGGTGCCGCTGGGGGACTCGCCCTACGTCCGCGCCAAGCACGTCCAGGTAAAAGAAAGGGACCAATTCCATCCGATCGATCGATCGATCGGTCGCGCACTGTCTCGCATCGCATCTCTGAGAGAACCCCCTTTTGGCAGCTGGTGGACAAGGAGCCGGACAAGGCCATCGCGCTCTTCTGGGCGGCGATCAATGCGGGCGACCGCGTGGACAGCGCGCTCAAGGACATGGCGATCGTGATGAAGCAGCAGAACCGGCCCGAGGAGGCGATCGAGGCCATCAAATCGCTGCGCGGGCGCTGCTCGGATCAAGCCCAGGAGTCGCTGGACAATGTCCTCCTCGATCTCTACAAGGTAAGCCCCCTTTTTCCCCCAAATCCAGTCTCTCGGACATGGATCGATGAAATCGCTGACTTGGGCGATTCTCTCTCTCCCAGAGGTGTGGCCGGCTGGACGATCAGATCGCTCTCCTCAAGCACAAGCTCCAGCTGATCTACGCGGGCCTCGCCTTCAATGGCAAGCGGACCAAGACCGCGCGCTCGCAAGGCAAGAAGTTCCAAGTTTCCATCGAGCAGGAGGCCACACGCTTGCTGGTCAGCGAAAGAAACTTCTTGCTCTTGCTCTTGCTCTTGCTCTTGCTCTTTCTCATCGATCGATCGATCGATCTTGTCCTTTGCAGGGGAATCTGGGCTGGGCGTACATGCAGCAATCCGATTTCATCGCAGCGGAGGCAGTCTACAGGTAGGCAATCCCATTGAATCGATTGATCATAAGCTGTGGATCATTGGCAGGAAAGCTCTGTCCATGGAACCGGACAACAACAAGATGTGTAACCTGGGCATTTGCTTGATGAAGCAAGGTCGCGTGGACGAGGCCAAAGTGCTACTCAAGAGCGTGATGCCCGCATCCTCAGATGCTCGTTGGGGTGCCGACTCGCACCTTAAGTCTTACGAGCGCGCACAGGAGATGCTGGCGGAGATGGAGCAAGGACAGCAACATCAGCCGCAGCACTTGCCAAGCACCGGCATTTTACGTCTTGTTGCCCACGCTCCCCAAGCTCAATCCAAGCTCAAGCAAGAGATTGAAATCCACCAACATCGCCTCCAGCAGCAGCAGCAGCAAACCCAGCCGCGAAGCCAGCAGATGCCCACGTACGATTCCTGGGACTACGACGAGGAGGAGGAGGAAGAGTATAATCTTGTTGACGATGCGGATGAGAACGCCAACGTAAACATCATCGCCCAGCAGCAGGAGGATCACCATTTTCTTGCGGCGGAGGCGCTCAAGAAGAAGCTGGAGCTGCTGTGCGTCAATGCAAACTCGAACTCTAACTCTGGCGCCATGGCCACCAACACGAGCAGCAACAGCCTCAAGTTTTCGCCCAGCAAGCCGCCACGCCCCTCTGCCACCGCTCGGAGATCCCTCTCGCTGGAGTCCTTCGACAATCTGGGAGGTAAAGAAAAGTTCCTGCTTCTTTCTCCTGTAGTTTCTTTTGATCGATGGACCCATGAGTCTCTAGTTTTGGTTGCAGCAGCTCCTCCTGGCAATGCTTCTCTACGACCACCTCCGGGAATCTCCAAGTCGGCTGCTTCGTCTCCCGTGAAGCAGCAGCTGTTTAGCGGAGGAGCCAGCGATGATCGTCGTCAACACCAGCCTTTCCAGGTGCTGCTGCCGTCCGCGTCGTGCCTGGGTGGCGAGCTAGGATTCATCCAGAGTCCCAAGGGGCTGGGGCTCAACGATCCGAGGCCACCGCCCTCGAGTTCTTCCACCTCTTCTTCATTCCAGCAGCAATTGCAGCAGCTCCAGGAGCAGAGCCGGCGACTTCGCGTGTTCCAGGACATCACCGCCACCACCAGCCCTCTTGCTCGTTAATGGGCTCCATAGCGAAGCTCTCGCTGGGTTTATCACTCCCATCGCACATCCCAGCTATGCGACACCCTCAGTCGCTCAGGTCTCTCTGTCTTTAGCGTTTCCTTTTTTAAAAGCCGTTATAAAAAATTTCAGGTAGGCAAAAAAAAGTCCGGCAGATATATTTAGAATATGCTTGCATTTTTTGGAATACTTTACTATCTAACAATTTTTATTGTTTATAATTTTTAAACTCTCTTAACCAATGCTGTAATGTGAGACACAAAATCCTTAAGCCCAAAGTGGAGGCTGAAGGGTGCCATATGATAGTGGCCAAAGCAAAAGCCAAACGAGTGTAACACGTTTAGACCAAAAGTTTTAATTTGAAAAGTCGAGAGCAAGAGTGGAACTCCCAACAAAGTGCTTGAGGAATGAGCACAAAGCGAGCAATAAGCGAAGCTTTAAAAAGGGACCCAAAAGGACTAACACATGACACGTGAAAGTGTCTGAGATGGAGTCCGAGATGGACCGAGATGGAGTTCGAAATGAATCAAGATGGAGTTCGAGATGGACCCGAGATGGAGTCCGAGATGGACCTAAGATGGAGTCCGAGATGGACCGAGATGGAGTCTGATATGGACCTGAGATGGAGTCCGAGATGGACCCGAGATGGAGTCTGAGATGGAGTCCGAGATGGACCGAGACAGAGTCTGAGATGGACCCGAGATGGAATCCGAGATGGAGTCCGAAAAGGACCCGAGATGGAGTCGAGACCGAGACCGGGACCGAGACTGAGACCGGGACTGAGACTGAGATCGGGACCGAGACCAAGACCGAGGCTGAGGCCGAGTCTGAGTCCGAGTCCAAGTCCGAGTCTGAGTCCAAGTTTGAGTCTGAGTCCGAGTTCGAGTTTGAGAGGGTGAAAGCCCAAAGTGTTCATCTCCCAAACCTTGGGGGGTTTGATGAGCTCCAAAAGTATAGTAAGGGGGAGGATTGCAGTGGAGCCAATTTGGCCAGGAAAGGCCAGTTTGGCCCAAAAAAGTTGTACCTAGTGTTGGGTGATGAGTTGCCCACTGGGAAGTTCAAGACTAGAGTGAACACGGATCGACAAGTGGGGTAGCTTGGTGAAGTGTTCAAGAGCCGGCTCTAGTTCCCCCGGGAGATCGATTGGCCGATGCTCCTAGTCCAAGTGTGGGTGGCACTACCTACTTGGATACCTAGTGTGGCTTAACGGAACCTCACTCTAAGCCCACGGCTAGAGCACCCAAAGGCAGAAGGCGGGGAAAGTACCCACGAGGCTCGCGTAAGGCTACGGTGTTCCGAAATGTTGTCCCAAAGGCCCAGACTGTGGAAAGGAAGAGGAATAGTCCTCTGGTGTAGTGACCAAGAATACAGTCGGGTGGTGAGGAAGTCCCAGAGGACCATGGGACTTAGTGGTCGGGCTTGTGAGCCTCTATCCAATGGCAGTGTTGGCAAACATGGCCATGGGCAGAAAGGGACTTGGTGGAGACCGGAAAAGGGATGTTGAGGAAGGTTATTCC